TAACCAATCATCAGTTGATGTGCATTCCAAAACTGTTTTTCAATGTTATGAACTTTTAAATTTTAAAATTTAATTAATGTTGAAAATTTATGCAAAAAAATGCAACAAATCAAAGCCACCATCTTCAGGTCAAGCCTTATTCTCTTGGTTTTTCCTACTGCATAAATACAGTAGAGCGTCGTTTATCCGAAACGTCCGTTATCCGAAAGCATTCCAGTCAGCAAATTTAAATTTTCGCTAGTGCTGTGGCACTGCAATCTTCGGCTATTTCTCGGGCTACTCAAATATTTTACGTTTTTGATACTAAATTAACATCTGAAGTATAATTTNTCTGAAAGTGATGTTTTCTAACAGTGGAACAATAGCTATGCTTGTCAACTGAGTTAAGAAAGATAAATCATTTGAAATGAATGAATGAATTACTGTAAGTAGGTATGTTGTAAACAGACAGATCTTCAAAAGTTCCTGGTAACAACAGAATATTGGAGAAATTTGCCAGTTTTATAATAAGGTTCAACTAACTGGTAGAATTATTGAATCTTGGAGGCAAATAAACTTAATGCCAATATATAGAATCTTGTATAATAAATATTATTGATATTTTACTCTTTAAAATTCTTTTAAGTCTCTACCAAAAATTTTTTTAAAGTGTTTTTTGTGGAGAGATGCAGTATCAATTCTTCTACCACATGTTTAAATTATTTAATTTTGTTAGCCTTGACGAAAATTTTTCAACCTTTAAGACAAATGGTTTGAGATTTATAAAATTGTTTTAATATCAATGTTTGATATCGCTATTAAAGAAAATTTTTTTGAGCAGCCTTGTGTTCAAAAAAGTTTTTTCTTAATACACTTTCTGGTCTACAGGCAAGTTTCACTTGCAAAATTGGTTTTCCATAAAAGTAGGATGACAAGTTTCTCTTATTCACAGTTTTACCTATTTTTCTGTGGAGCTGGATAGCTTACACACACTTATAGTCAACATGGTTTTTTTCATTAAATGTACAGTACTTTTTATCATTTTCAAACTGCTAAATGGTGCACATTGTATAATATTTTGATGTTTTGTAAAATGGCTGTCAAATATTATAAATTACAAAGAAAATTATAAATTGATAAAACTTTAGATTTCATAAATGATAATCCTAAATCAAAAATATATAGACTAGTGGATGAGCTCAGCATTACTTGGGCGAAAAATAATAACAGCAAAGATTATTAGATTATTTTATACTTCTAACCCTTCTACTATAGTACAGTAGAGCATTGTTTATCCAAATCAATTGGGGACTGGGGTTCGGATAACTTATTTTTCGGATAACCAATTATGTGCGAAAAAATATATTAACCTACCCCGTGTTGAAATTTTTCTTCGTTGCATGTCGCTTCGCGTTGAATTTTCGTCGATGTTAAGCCTAACATAAACTTTTTAAAATAATAATCATGGCTATTGTATCGTTAAAAATTATTTCTTAATTTTTTACAAACAAAATATATACAGTGGGACCGAGCGATAACCACGTAAGTCGGGGTATAATTTTACAATTTGTGTAAAAATCAAGTCGGATGTATGTAAGCTAATAAATGTTCTCGTTAATCCTATCTCGTCTTTTGATTCGTTCACATTAGAAGAAATCACCACATAGAGTCTCTCAAGTCTCCATAGATATAACAAACACAGAAATAAATAACACAAAATAAATTGTGGCTATGTGTCGATTCTGCACAACACGTCTGAATATGTAAGCCGAACAATAGTGTGGGGGGATTGAGTAATCGAGAGTTGCTTGGCGCTCAAACAAAAGACGAATCAACGAGATTTGAAAATCACGTAAGTCGGGGTAGCATAAGTCGAGGTATTACTGTATATTGAAAAATATAAAAACAAAAAAAAAATTATACTTTAGAAGTTGATCTAGTATCAAAAACATTAGATTCAGCATGACACACAAAATTGTCAATGCTGCCAGCTAAAACACACACACAAATTTTGCTAGTGCTGTGGCACTGCAATATTTTTTTCATTGATGTAAGATACACACTGATTTATATTTACAAAGGTTAACATATTTTAAAGAATTTTTAAAGATTTTAAAATGTGTTAGATTGGTCATTTGGTGCGATAAACCCTTGCGTAAGATAAGATTGGCTATGTAACTATAAAGGTTAACTGTTTTCACTGGATGCAAAAATTAGGTCCCCCTTCTTCTGAGGCTAATTAGAGAATTTTTAGACGGGTCTAAAAATATGTTTGATTTACCGTAAAAACCATGTCTAAAATAGTATAGTAGAAGCTGAGTTCTTCAGGGTAATCCAGGCATGGCCTGTTGAATGAATTTATGTGGCCCGCGATTAATCTTTCATTATTAGCTACTCAAGTCCGAACAGAACTGTAACTAGGGTATGGCCAATGTGGCCCTAGCCATAGGCGCCGATTTAATAAAGGCGCCAACGAGAAGGTTTCAAAATTAATAACACAAATTAATAACACAAAAAACTTTTTGTTTATATAGTATTTAAATGTCATTATATAATTTTTTTACAATAAAATTTTTATTTTTTTAATAATAAAAATTAAAAAGCGCCATTTTTATTCTTGGCCATAGGCGTCCAAAATCCTAGTTATGGCTGAGTCCGAATAGCTCAATGACATATTTTTAGGCGTCAGAATTTTTCAACAACTTGCTGTGTGTTTATAGTTAACCCTCCATTACAGATCTGTTAAGTACAGCATAGAATTTTGATAGAACATGATGATGTGAAAAATGTATCTGTAATCTCTATGCACAATTTAGTCTATGGAGTGACACCACAATGAGATCTCGCACCATCTTAAAATCTTCCTAGGGCAGCTTCTGGTTCGGCCTGTGAAAAAGTTCTTTTTCCAATTCGGCCCAGGGCAAAAACTGTTGGCCACCCCTGGGGTAATCCTTAACCCTCTCCCTCTTCAAAAATCCTTTAGTCTGAATTGTCGTGGCATACCCTAACAGTGTACCAAATTTCAACTTTCAACTCCTAACCATTTGAGCTCTGCACATATTATCGTTATTATCAGTCCATCTCAATTATATTATAAGATACCAAAAAAAGTATCAAATATAAAAAAAAATCTTCAAACATTTTATCTTAGTTGGTATATTAATACATATAATTTTTAAATTTGAAAAAGTCTAATTATTTTTCATTAAAAAGGAAAAAAATCCTCATATTATGACAAAATCATTAACAAGAACCAATATTATTTTTGGAAACAACCAAAAATCCTGTCTGCTTGGGCATTCACAAGGCTAATCTCCAGTCCAGCTGTTTTGGAGCTTTGCTCAAGGATAATTAAAATATCATTTCACCTATAATGTGTTGCTGTTTCCTTCTGAGAACTCAAGGATAGGACTAACATATTTGCAGACTACATATTGAGAAACACTGCATTACCTGAATTATCTCAAATAATAAAAGCATGTAACAAAGTATGAAAACTTCACTATTTGTATCATCATTGATGTAGTACTTCTAAGAGGGATCATAATAATAATGGAATGCTCTGAGCATGCAGAGGTGAATGAGAACATTCCAATCAAACGGCATCAATTTTTGCTGGATTTGCAAAAGTGCAGTTGTTTAATATTGAATCTTTCATTGTGAGAAAATATATACTTATTATTATTACCATTGCAATTGATTAACTTAACTATATTGGTATTTATGATCATTTTAAATAAATTTTAATATTTAGTTTCTGTATCATAACAGACAAATTCATCAGAATTCTTTACAATAGAATCTAATTATCACTTATCTTAAAGCTTTTGAATTTGGTGCTTATTTATAGTGTTTCAAAACAAAACGTATTATTTACATAGGTTTTTGTTCACTTAAATATTCTTTAAGAAAACTACAGTGAGTGATCGGTTAACGAACATAATCCGTTCCAAGACTTTGTTCGTTAACTGATTATCAATTTACCGTAGGTTTTAATGGGAATTTAATTCGTTCTGAAGACCCCCAAAAATAAAAAATATATACTTTCTTACTATGTTTATTTATATGTAATAATAAACTACACACACACACACACACACACACAGTCTTGCATTTTTATTAGTCATGTTTTTTCCATTTGAAAGGGTTAAAGGATCTGTCTAATATTGATTGCTTTTCTCTCTTCTTCACAATTTTTCGTAATTAATAGCATTGTAATTGTAGAGATCCCAAGCCTATTAACCTCAACCTGGTTTGTATGCCATTTTAAGACCGTTGTTCTGACATCCTCCCACTTCTTCAAAGGATCTTTAATAACAGATATCGGCATTAATCGTCTTTTTCAGAAGAAAACATATTAAAGATTAAACTGAGGCCTACTGTAGACCTGTTCACGCCATACTGCCCAGCAACATTAGGCATCTTCTGCCCACTCTCTACCTTTGCTATTATATTCTCACCTTTCGAAAAGAAAAACAGACGCAAAACTTAACGAGTGCCTACCCGACAGTCTCGCGAATACACAAAAGAATTGTTTTGTCAGAAAAATAAAAGGCTGGAATTATAAGGGAGTATTTCTTCGAACTTTGAAATTCTATCTGATTGGTAAATACTGGCTTGAGCATCGATGTCTCCCACACTCCGAAAAGTTTCAAATTGTTGTCTGAAGACCAATTGGTATTCATTATTTTACGTCGCTTCTTTTTGTGTTTGTTCTGAGGGGTGTTCGTTAACTGATCACCCACTGTATTGAAGAAATTCCCAAAACCTGTATTGATTTATTTATTCTGTGTTTGAATCTGTTGTGTCCCACGAGACAAAAATGTTTTGAAAAATATGTATACAAGAATTTACTTACTTCCAATTAAACGTATTAAGATAATTTTACAAAATATTTAGTCATGCTACTATTAAATGATCAGTGGTTAATGAGAACACAGTAATTCTTAGTTATAAATAATAAACAAATATTCATAACAAGAAATATCAGATTAAATTTTTTGTGTAATTTCTAATTTCAGGAATTGATGTTGAAGCAATACCACCATATGCAAAGAGATCAAACAGATTAACTTTACCATTATGTAAGTACATTATATTACATTAAAATTTGAAATCAAATATGCTGATGATACAAAGTCACATTTTAACAACTTTGTTACAATTCAGTTTTTGTTGCTGCCAAATCTGTAGGATTTAATTTGTTATCCACAATCTCATCATCAACCTGTGGAATTATGTTGTAGTTTCACCACTTATTGCAACAGCGTTTAAAAAAGTTCTCTCTATTTGTTCCTGGTAATTGTAAATGATGGAAATGTGAAGATTAGTTTTTCTTACTTGTTAGTAGTAATACTGTTCTAAATTCAAAATATGTTGAAGATTTCTGTTTAATTTTAGTGATATTTTATTTTTTGTTTATAAAGATTTTTGGAATTACTGGAGACTAAACTTAGATTATCATACAGATGGTGTATAACTGGTGTTTGAGAAGGGATTTAAAAATCTAAATGTAAAAAACTTTTACTGAAATTTGTGTCAAAGTTGTATTTTATCATAAAAATTGTTTCCATATCTCAAGTTATTCTGTAAATTGAGATAACTGGTATTAAAATCTGCAAATTCTAATTTCCTGCATTCAACATTGTTTTAAAAAACTTTTCTGTTATGTTTTAGGAAGAGGAGAAACATTCTGTTACTGAATTGATACTTTAAATGAATTAGTATATTCCAAAATAATGTGTAAAAACTGTTTTATTAGCACAGGATTAATGCTAACTATTACCTGTAACTAAATCATTCAGGAGAACAACAAAACCTTATGAGTTACTGCTGATGTCAAGGGAAATTGATAAAGGTGGAAAAATAGGAGACTGCCACAGAATTTTGGATTCCTCCAAATACACTTTCAATAATTCTACAAATCATGAAAATGAAGCTGGTTTATTCAATAATTGCAAATGTTTTAAAGCCTGTACTTACAAAAAACATTGATGAAGATGTTCTCAAATGAGTTAAAATGTGTTTCTGGGTCACTCATTAGAGAAAAAGCTTGATTTCATCATTAGTTTAGGCTGTTTAAAACAAAAAAAAAAGTATAACATTATTCAAAAGCTTAAAGTGCAGATATTAATGAACATGACTGTGAAAAGTGGTAAAAAAAATTTTTTTGAAAGGAAATATTCAACATTGTTTTATTTAAATGTAATTTTAAGTAAATTAAAAAAAGTTTAATACTTATTCCAATTAAAATGCAACAATTTTGAGAAATTAAAAATTCTACATTTGTTTGCTTAATTTATTCTATTAAAGTTTTTGTATGCTAATTAAAGCATTCTTCTAATTTAAATATAATCATATTTCTTAATTACTATTTATCACTTAGCGCCCAATCCTCAGAAAATGACGACAACAAAAATTCTTCAGGCCGGAGAGAAGCGTGCACATCCTAGTTACATTCCCGAACATTATCCTCAGTTTCCTGATCCACATGCATACATCAGAACTCCAGTAAGGAAAAACATTTTATAATGATAAATTTTGTTTTTTAACTATACTTTAGTTATTCTTTTGTAATTATCTTTATTTAGACACACAAACAACCTGTTACAGAATACGAGGCAATCCGAGAAAAGGCAGCCAGTCAAAAAAGAGACGTAGAAAGAGCACTTACAAGATTTGTAGCAAAGACTGGAGCTACTCAGTCTCTATTTCCTGATGACACTACTTTATTTCCATGTAAGAACTAAAATAAAATGTTTCTGATTATAATAAATTTATACTAAATAATTTCAGTGATTGCCTGCAAGCCTGCACCTAACAGTTATTTAAATGCTTTACTGCCAAAAGATCAGATTTTTGAAGAAGAAGAAGAAAAAACTGAGACCAAAACTAAGGAAGGTAAACATTTTATATTATTTAAGTTACTCTTACTAATCCAATCTAATTTTGTAATTAATTATTGTGCAAGTTCAGATTAGCAGATTTAATTTATATAGGAAAAGGACTACATATTAGTTATACTGTAAATCTCTCTAGTGAAAAATAACTAATTCAAGCTTAGTGAGAGTATAGTGCAATTATTTTTAACTTAATAAAGTTTCAGTTTAAAGTATGTAAATAGGCAAAGTTTTTAACAATATCTACTTCTATCATATAGAAAGTTCATAGAAATTTTTTAGTTTTCAAATAATTCATTTAACTATTGTAACACTAACGGTGATTCAAAATTGACATTTTTTCCCACTTCTATCATTTCTGAAGATAAAAAAAAATGAATTGCATGCTATAACAAAAGTATGTCCATTACACAAATACTTGCTTTAATCCTTTTAATGAAAACATAGTATCTTTGCAACACAGGATTGTTATATGGATGTTTTAAATTCATACATAATTTTTGCAATGACAATTTGTTAAGTAGGATCACTCAGAATTTTAGCTTTGTTATTGATGCATCACTATTTGTATGTTGTTTGATTCATGAATTTACAGTGTTACTGCAAATAAATGAATAGATTAAATTTGACATTCCTGTAAAAAAATATTAGTGCCAAAATTATCTACTTTGATCTTAGTCCCTGTATTTTTGGTTTTGGTGAAACTCGTCCTTAATAAACTACACTTTGTGTTGCAAATCTGGAAACCTTGACAGTATAACACTGCTCCTCTTTAGATCTAGTATATATCAAATTTCTAACTATTATTTCAATCATCATTTAGTATGGAATCAAGTAGGTAATCATCAAACATTTGTGATTTTTTTTTTATGTAATTAGAGAGCTGCAGTTAAAGTAAGATTCAATAAATTCCAAAATGTTAAATTTCTAAGACAATTTTCTAATCTTTCAGATCAGCAACAACCTGCAGATCAGACAAATCAAAAAGCAGATAACAGTGATATTGATATTATGGATAATCCCTACTTAAGACCAGTAAAAATGCCAAGAAAGAGAAAAAGATGAACACTGTAAATTGTGTAATAAATTTTTGTATTTTAATTACTGTTGTATGATTTTCTATTTTCCCATGTACTGTACATCTTTTGTAGGTGCCATACAATGGCTGATTCATGCTAAGTTTAAATGGATTCTACTGCATTAAAATGATTCAGTTTGCCACTTATTTATACCACTTAGAATCTAGTTTTATACATTTTAAACTCCTTATTTTGGGTGACTATAGTAGAATGAAATAAGCTGGATCATAAAAGCAAGCAAAGAAATAAAATAGTGCACAAGCCTTTTTTTAACTTTAAATTAAAACATTAAACTCATTTAATGCATTATTGTAAAATTTAAGCATTAACTAAATCCAAATTATTGGTATGTTTTCTGTTTTACATTTTAGACCAATGGTTCATAATTAGTGTTACATGTACCCCTGCGGTACGCGCGACAATGTAAAATCGGTCGATTTAAAATTTAAATGCATGAGATGAAGCAATCAAAAAAATAATGGGCAGACCATCAAAAATTTGGTAATTTACAACATGATGTCGAATGCACAAATTTGTTTATTTATAACTAAAAATATTCTCGAAATTTCATTAAAAAAAATGCATTTGTGACAATAACCAAGTGAAATTCTTGCGCAAGAAACAAAAATTGTACAATTAACACAAATTGTGTTAATTGTACAATTATCATTATTATTATTATGTCAATGAAGCGGCAATAAAATATTTACTACTATTTTGCACAACATACCTCTGTGAGAGCGGATTTTTGGCTATGACAAACATGAAAACTAAACATCACCGACTTTGACTCAAAGATGACTTGAGACTGAAGCTGACCAAAAAGCAACCGGATTTTATAAAAGTGCAAAGAAAATCATGCACATTTGTCAAATTAAAATACAATAATGAAAATAACATAAGGTTATTTAAAGGTAAATGTAAAAAAGACTTATTCCATTTATCACTAGCTGTCTACCCACAGCTTTGCCCGCATTATATCGAATTTTCTGGTGGGAGTAATATATTTTCTCGCAGTAAAATGTAGCCCATGTCCATCTCCAACATGTAAGCTATCTCTGTGCCAAATTTTATTAAAACCTGTTTAGCGGTTTAGACGTGAAAAGGTAACAGACAGAATTGCCTTCGATTAATATCGGATTAATATGAATTTCTGCTATAAGGGGTACGCAAGTTTGAGCTCTTTCTTGAAGTGGTACGCAGGAAAAACTAATTGAGAACCACTGTTTTAGACAGATGCCCTACATTTAGCAAACTTAGGGAATCTGTGGTGGACTTTGCAGTAAATATTTTTCCCACAAAATGAGATGGTTCTATGCAAACAAGAAACAGTCAAGTTACACAGCACACCTCTACAGCTTCTCATTTGGCTGCATTACACTTAAAATGTTTGCCTACCTTTTTAATGCTGACAGAAAAAAAACAGGGACCTTCAGTCTTCTGCCAAGTAAAAATTGTCACTGATAATTTATATGCAGGAATCAGACTTGCCAATTTTTGGGCTTGATTTCTCTGCTCCAAACGTCCAAACTAATTCTGAATATCTCATCTACTGAAGAAAACAATTACCCTTCAATATGCAAAATTTCAAGGTTTTTGACAAAATATAAGTAATTGAAAAGTACAGCTTTTTTTGCAACTTTTGCAGTTTCTTTTTCATCTGGCATTGCAGACACTTGCAGAGAAAAAAAACAACTGGATCTAGAAAGCTCAAATTTTAAACTTATGCCTTTCTTGTTATCACTGAAGTTCTTGCAAAACTTCTGGGTCGATAGGTCAAAGTTAACTAGGATTTCACATAGAACTATTTCGGTTTTCTGGCTTAATTTCATACTTATAAGGATAAAGTTACATCAAAACATTACTCAGTGGAATTCAAGCAGTAGTATCTAAAAAGATTAATGAAACATCAAGCTTGCTTGTTTGTTGAAGTTTCTGTCAGTTGGCAAAATTTTCTTCGTAAATAAAGACACAGTCATTGCAAAAAATAATTTTTGAACGACTGTGGACTGTGTCTTTATTTACAAAGAAAATTTTGCCATCTGACAGAAACTTCAACAAAAAAACTTTTTTGCAACAACTTGTCACCAGAGGGAATACCAAAAAATCTACATTTAACAGCACTTTCTTCCAGTGGATATAAAGGCTGGAATTCCCAAATGGAACAGGATGGAAAACCTGAAGACAACATAAGATCCACTGGTTCCAATTTTTTACATTTATATTTGTAAGGAATGTTTTGAATTAGATGGCCAAGTAGCCTATAAAGGAAGGTCTGGCTGTCTAAAGTTTTATTCTATAACATATAATAAAATAGTCATTCCAAACATTATTTTTGAAAAACACTGTCTCTTTATTTACAAAAAAAATCAAGTTTGTTCTAAATAGAAGCAAAGGATGGAAAGCTATTATGAAGCTAACAAAAATCTTAAATGGAAAAGAAGACAAACAAGTGAAACAGAGATCAGTTTTTTTGCTAACAGGAAAAATGACTCTTGATGTCATATGAACTGTGTGTTGCAACCAAAGAAAATTATAATCTATGTAACTGATTTTGTAAATAAACTAATGTAATGGAAAAAATTAATCAAAACATGTGTCAGCTTGTATTCTTGAGTTTTGAATACAGTCGACCCCCTTATAATTACGATTCCTATAAAACTACGAAAAAATATACGTATTTTGGAAATGTTGAGTCGGATTAGTGTAGAATCGATTAATTTTATGGAAGAAAACCTTACAATCAGCCGTAGTCCATAAACTTGACATGTGTTGGGCTGTGATTGGAACGACTTGTAAGAAATCGGATTCCTAATAAATTGGAACGTATCTATATCTTATAGGGGGGTCGACTGTACAATATTCTCAAAAATGTGTTTTTCAAATTTTTTTATCCAACACTGCATTGTCTTGGTCACAATGGCAAAATTGAATTTGAAATTTAGTAACTAGTGTTGCAACAAATACTATATTCGGCCAAACTATTGTACGAAAATTGGTGCGCGTGTACGAAATGTACGAAAATTGGCACAAGGACCCTACTCTCTATTGGCCTGCTGTCACCACACTTCGCCAATGGCATTAATTCTTGTTAGTTGTAGCGGACAGACAAGAGCATCATGGCAGTATGTGATAAATGATGATATCAAATGTAGATGATGATGAAATGACCTACACATGTAAATAATGGAAAAAGAACAGAGAAGGATTGTGAAGTAAAAATGTGAAAATAAATATGAAATTGAGTTCATAACATAATTGAACAAGTTGAGGCAGCTTATTGGCACGAAATTCGCGACCGTCAATGACAAATAATTGTTGTCATAGACTTCGAAAAGCTAAATGCTTGTAATGAAAGTCACTTAGCGTGCACGGGCGAAAGCCTGGGGCCGTTTGGGCTACCAAGTTGTCTCAAATCTGTGACTTATAGAGATGTTCTATCTGTCTCTTTTCTCCGTTATCACCAGGTTGAGTCACGTAATTGTAAAATGGGAAATCTACAACGGAAAAGTGACAAATCGAAAGTATCGTGAGTGCATATTATGATGTATGCATAGGCATACATGGACTAGAGCGATAAAGGAAAGAGCAAAGATGAGCACTTAAAAAGAAGGATAGGCAGGGTCAGACCCTCAGACGTGCAATGATTCTCGAACGAATAGGTGTGTACGTGTGCTGATCTTTGTAATTATAAATTGTGAATACAAGTGACTAATATTATGTTTTTTTATTTTGTGCATGTTATAAGTTATAAATAAATATAAACAAACAACACTAACCCGATAACATTAAATCTAAATACCAAAATGATTAATTTACTGTGTTTTTGTTATTTCTTACTCCTGTTTTTAGGTATTCGGCCGAATACCGAATAGTAACCGAATATTTGTTACATCACTATTAGTAACTTCAGATTGCAGGTCAAATATTTGAATAATTCAGAAAAACAAATACATAAAATTCTGAAAGCATATTAGAAAAATAAACTCTATAAAGTAAAAAACTATGATTATAATGGAAACAAATACATATTTCAATGAGAAATCATCATGTTTATTTGATAATTTTTCTATCAGAAGTTCATAATTAGTGGCCTTTAAAGACTATCAAATATCTAAAAGCACCATCTTGAAGTTGTAGATTTTAAAATTTATAAAAACCTAATACAGAAAACCCTTGATTTAACTTTAAAAATACTACTACTAGAACTGGCATAAACAATAATCTTACATAATACACCCAAATTCCAGCATAATGAAATGGTTAAAGTGTTGAACAAATGTTTTCAGTGATCTTAAGCCACTGTATTTAGATTCTAGTCTTTAAAATGGAGAACAATGCCTGTAAAAGAATATTTTTAATTTTGATTAAAATAATGCTATAATGTACATTTTTATTCATACTTGTTAACAACAAACCTAAAATGTGATGTATGTTTTTAAAACACAAACAAAAACTTATCAGGTTTTACTGAGTACATGGGTAAGAAAATACATGGCTTATTTTGTATATTTATACAGTAGAACCTCCATTATCCGGATTGTTCAAAATAAACAAAAATTTTACGAATTTGCTGATTTGCACTTGGTGAATTACGATACTGTTTATGTACGTGATGTAATGAATAACTTTTTTTGTTTCAACAACGTCTCACTTAGCACAGTGGTCGTAAACTCTTAAATATATTTTACGTAGTAATAAAAATATAACTTGACATACGTATTTATAAATAATTTATATTCAAATTACATCATTTCTATGACCAAGGGCGGCGTAAGGCATGGACGACGTGGCCCACTGCCTATGCCACGCAGTCCGAAGGGCCTTGCGCCTCGAAGGTTTATGCATTACTTAAAAGCCGTGAACGCGACGAAAAAATTTTACTCATCATAAAACGATAAATAGTTTGTCAAATTTGTATTCATAAAAATACAGTTTCAATTGCTTTTTATTTTATAAAATCCGTCTTCTTGCACCACCAGAGGACCTTTTAAACAATAGGTAGTCTGTTAGCGTTGGTCAATAGTAGTCCAAATTCAATATAAACGTTTGTTTCTTGAAAATTTGATCACAATTTAAATACAGTATTTACTTTTAATATTACCGATATGTCATCGAAAAGAAACGTGCTGTATTATCATTAAAAGACAAATTAAAGTACTTGTTTCGANCATTTTATCTTAGTTGGTATATTAATACATATAATTTTTAAATTTGAAAAAGTCTAATTATTTTTCATTAAAAAGGAAAAAAATCCTCATATTATGACAAAATCATTAACAAGAACCAATATTATTTTTGGAAACAACCAAAAATCCTGTCTGCTTGGGCATTCACAAGGCTAATCTCCAGTCCAGCTGTTTTGGAGCTTTGCTCAAGGATAATTAAAATATCATTTCACCTATAATGTGTTGCTGTTTCCTTCTGAGAACTCAAGGATAGGACTAACATATTTGCAGACTACATATTGAGAAACACTGCATTACCTGAATTATCTCAAATAATAAAAGCATGTAACAAAGTATGAAAACTTCACTATTTGTATCATCATTGATGTAGTACTTCTAAGAGGGATCATAATAATAATGGAATGCTCTGAGCATGCAGAGGTGAATGAGAACATTCCAATCAAACGGCATCAATTTTTGCTGGATTTGCAAAAGTGCAGTTGTTTAATATTGAATCTTTCATTGTGAGAAAATATATACTTATTATTATTACCATTGCAATTGATTAACTTAACTATATTGGTATTTATGATCATTTTAAATAAATTTTAATATTTAGTTTCTGTATCATAACAGACAAATTCATCAGAATTCTTTACAATAGAATCTAATTATCACTTATCTTAAAGCTTTTGAATTTGGTGCTTATTTATAGTGTTTCAAAACAAAACGTATTATTTACATAGGTTTTTGTTCACTTAAATATTCTTTAAGAAAACTACAGTGAGTGATCGGTTAACGAACATAATCCGTTCCAAGACTTTGTTCGTTAACTGATTATCAATTTACCGTAGGTTTTAATGGGAATTTAATTCGTTCTGAAGACCCCCAAAAATAAAAAATATATACTTTCTTACTATGTTTATTTATATGTAATAATAAACTACACACACACACACACACACACACAGTCTTGCATTTTTATTAGTCATGTTTTTTCCATTTGAAAGGGTTAAAGGATCTGTCTAATATTGATTGCTTTTCTCTCTTCTTCACAATTTTTCGTAATTAATAGCATTGTAATTGTAGAGATCCCAAGCCTATTAACCTCAACCTGGTTTGTATGCCATTTTAAGACCGTTGTTCTGACATCCTCCCACTTCTTCAAAGGATCTTTAATAACAGATATCGGCATTAATCGTCTTTTTCAGAAGAAAACATATTAAAGATTAAACTGAGGCCTACTGTAGACCTGTTCACGCCATACTGCCCAGCAACATTAGGCATCTTCTGCCCACTCTCTACCTTTGCTATTATATTCTCACCTTTCGAAAAGAAAAACAGACGCAAAACTTAACGAGTGCCTACCCGACAGTCTCGCGAATACACAAAAGAATTGTTTTGTCAGAAAAATAAAAGGCTGGAATTATAAGGGAGTATTTCTTCGAACTTTGAAATTCTATCTGATTGGTAAATACTGGCTTGAGCATCGATGTCTCCCACACTCCGAAAAGTTTCAAATTGTTGTCTGAAGACCAATTGGTATTCATTATTTTACGTCGCTTCTTTTTGTGTTTGTTCTGAGGGGTGTTCGTTAACTGATCACCCACTGTATTGAAGAAATTCCCAAAACCTGTATTGATTTATTTATTCTGTGTTTGAATCTGTTGTGTCCCACGAGACAAAAATGTTTTAAAAAATATGTATACAAGAATTTACTTACTTCCAATTAAACGTATTAAGATAATTTTACAAAATATTTAGTCATGCTACTATTAAATGATCAGTGGTTAATGAGAACACAGTAATTCTTAGTTATAAATAATAAACAAATATTCATAACAAGAAATATCAGATTAAATTTTTTGTGTAATTTCTAATTTCAGGAATTGATGTTGAAGCAATACCACCATATGCAAAGAGATCAAACAGATTAACTTTACCATTATGTAAGTACATTATATTACATTAAAATTTGAAATCAAATATGCTGATGATACAAAGTCACATTTTAACAACTTTGTTACAATTCAGTTTTTGTTGCTGCCAAATCTGTAGGATTTAATTTGTTATCCACAATCTCATCATCAACCTGTGGAATTATGTTGTAGTTTCACCACTTATTGCAACAGCGTTTAAAAAAGTTCTCTCTATTTGTTCCTGGTAATTGTAAATGATGGAAATGTGAAGATTAGTTTTTCTTACTTGTTAGTAGTAATACTGTTCTAAATTCAAAATATGTTGAAGATTTCTGTTTAATTTTAGTGATATTTTATTTTTTGTTTATAAAGATTTTTGGAATTACTGGAGACTAAACTTAGATTATCATACAGATGGTGTATAACTGGTGTTTGAGAAGGGATTTAAAAATCTATATGTAAAAAACTTTTACTGAAATTTGTGTCAAAGTTGTATTTTATCATAAAAATTGTTTCCATATCTCAAGTTATTCTGTAAATTGAGATAACTGGTATTAAAATCTGCAAATTCTAATTTCCTGCATTCAACATTGTTTTAAAAAACTTTTCTGTTATGTTTTAGGAAGAGGAGAAACATTCTGTTACTGAATTGATACTTTAAATGAATTAGTATATTCCAAAATAATGTGTAAAAACTGTTTTATTAGCACAGGATTAATGCTAACTATTACCTGTAACTAAATCATTCAGGAGAACAACAAAACCTTATGAGTTACTGCTGATGTCAAGGGAAATTGATAAAGGTGGAAAAATAGGAGACTGCCACAGAATTTTGGATTCCTCCAAATACACTTTCAATAATTCTACAAATCATGAAAATGAAGCTGGTTTATTCAATAATTGCAAATGTTTTGAAGCCTGTACTTACAAAAAACATTGATGAAGATGTTCTCAAATGAGTTAAAATGTGTTTCTGGGTCACTCATTAGAGAAAAAGCTTGATTTCATCATTAGTTTAGGCTGTTTAAAACAAAAAAAAAAGTATAACATTATTCAAAAGCTTAAAGTGCAGATATTAATGAACATGACTGTGAAAAGTGGTAAAAAAAATTTTTTTGAAAGGAAATATTCAACATTGTTTTATTTAAATGTAATTTTAAGTAAATTAAAAAAAGTTTAATACTTATTCCAATTAAAATGCAACAATTTTGAGAAATTTAAAATTCTACATTTGTTTGCTTAATTTATTCTATTAAAGTTTTTGTATGCTAATTAAAGCATTCTTCTAATTTAAATATAATCATATTTCTTAATTACTATTTATCACTTAGCGCCCAATCCTCAGAAAATGACGACAACAAAAATTCTTCAGGCCGGAGAGAAGCGTGCACATCCTAGTTACATTCCCGAACATTATCCTCAGTTTCCTGATCCACATGCATACATCAGAACTCCAGTAAGGAAAAACATTTTATAATGATAAATTTTGTTTTTTAACTATACTTTAGTTATTCTTTTGTAATTATCTTTATTTAGACACACAAACAACCTGTTACAGAATACGAGGCAATCCGAGAAAAGGCAGCCAGTCAAAAAAGAGACGTAGAAAGAGCACTTACAAGATTTGTAGCAAAGACTGGAGCTACTCAGTCTCTATTTCCTGATGACACTACTTTATTTCCATGTAAGAACTAAAATAAAATGTTTCTGATTATAATAAATTTATACTAAATAATTTCAGTGATTGCCTGCAAGCCTGCACCTAACAGTTATTTAAATGCTTTACTGCCAAAAGATCAGATTTTTGAAGAAGAAGAAGAAAAAACTGAGACCAAAACTAAGGAAGGTAAACATTTTATATTATTTAAGTTACTCTTACTAATCCAATCTAATTTTGTAATTAATTATTGTGCAAGTTCAGATTAGCAGATTTAATTTATATAGGAAAAGGACTACATATTAGTTATACTGTAAATCTCTCTAGTGAAAAATAACTAATTCAAGCTTAGTGAGAGTATAGTGCAATTATTTTTAACTTAATAAAGTTTCAGTTTAAAGTATGTAAATAGGCAAAGTTTTTAACAATATCTACTTCTATCATATAGAAAGTTCATAGAAATTTTTTAGTTTTCAAATAATTCATTTAACTATTGTAACACTAACGGTGATTCAAAATTGACATTTTTTCCCACTTCTATCATTTCTGAAGATAAAAAAAAATGAATTGCATGCTATAACAAAAGTATGTCCATTACACAAATACTTGCTTTAATCCTTTTAATGAAAACATAGTATCTTTGCAACACAGGATTGTTATATGGATGTTTTAAATTCATACATAATTTTTGCAATGACAATTTGTTAAGTAGGATCACTCAGAATTTTAGCTTTGTTATTGATGCATCACTATTTGTATGTTGTTTGATTCATGAATTTACAGTGTTACTGCAAATAAATGAATAGATTAAATTTGACATTCCTGTAAAAAAATATTAGTGCCAAAATTATCTACTTTGATCTTAGTCCCTGTATTTTTGGTTTTGGTGAAACTCGTCCTTAATAAACTACACTTTGTGTTGCAAATCTGGAAACCTTGACAGTATAACACTGCTCCTCTTTAGATCTAGTATATATCAAATTTCTAACTATTATTTCAATCATCATTTAGTATGGAATCAAGTAGGTAATCATCAAACATTTGTGATTTTTTTTTTATGTAATTAGAGAGCTGCAGTTAAAGTAAGATTCAATAAATTCCAAAATGTTAAATTTCTAAGACAATTTTCTAATCTTTCAGATCAGCAACAACCTGCAGATCAGACAAATCAAAAAGCAGATAACAGTGATATTGATATTATGGATAATCCCTACTTAAGACCAGTAAAAATGCCAAGAAAGAGAAAAAGATGAACACTGTAAATTGTGTAATAAATTTTTGTATTTTAATTACTGTTGTATGATTTTCTATTTTCCCATGTACTGTACATCTTTTGTAGGTGCCATACAATGGCTGATTCATGCTAAGTTTAAATGGATTCTACTGCATTAAAATGATTCAGTTTGCCACTTATTTATACCACTTAGAATCTAGTTTTATACATTTTAAACTCCTTATTTTGGGTGACTATAGTAGAATGAAATAAGCTGGATCATAAAAGCAAGCAAAGAAATAAAATAGTGCACAAGCCTTTTTTTAACTTTAAATTAAAACATTAAACTCATTTAATGCATTATTGTAAAATTTAAGCATTAACTAAATCCAAATTATTGGTATGTTTTCTGTTTTACATTTTAGACCAATGGTTCATAATTAGTGTTACATGTACCCCTGCGGTACGCGCGACAATGTAAAATCGGTCGATTTAAAATTTAAATGCATGAGATGAAGCAATCAAAAAAATAATGGGCAGACCATCAAAAATTTGGTAATTTACAACATGATGTCGAATGCACAAATTTGTTTATTTATAACTAAAAATATTCTCGAAATTTCATTAAAAAAAATGCATTTGTGACAATAACCAAGTGAAATTCTTGCGCAAGAAACAAAAATTGTACAATTAACATTATTATTATTATGTCAACGAAGCGGCAATAAAATATTTACTACTATTTTGCACAACATACCTCTGTGAGAGCGGATTTTTGGCTATGACAAACATGAAAACTAAACATCACCGACTTTGACTCAAAGATGACTTGAGACTGAAGCTGACCAAAAAGCAACCGGATTTTATAAAAGTGCAAAGAAAATCATGCACATTTGTCAAATTAAAATACAATAATGAAAATAACATAAGGTTATTTAAAGGTAAATGTAAAAAAGACTTATTCCATTTATCACTAGCTGTCTACCCACAGCTTTGCCCGCATTATATCGAATTTTCTGGTGGGAGTAATATATTTTCTCGCAGTAAAATGTAGCCCATGTCCATCTCCAACATGTAAGCTATCTCTGTGCCAAATTTTATTAAAACCTGTTTAGCGGTTTAGACGTGAAAAGGTAACAGACAGAATTGCCTTCGATTAATATCGGATTAATATGAATTTCTGCTATAAGGGGTACGCAAGTTTGAGCTCTTTCTTGAAGTGGTACGCAGGAAAAACTAATTGAGAACCACTGTTTTAGACAGATGCCCTACATTTAGCAAACTTAGGGAATCTGTGGTGGACTTTGCAGTAAATATTTTTCCCACAAAATGAGATGGTTCTATGCAAACAAGAAACAGTCAAGTTACACAGCACACCTCTACAGCTTCTCATTTGGCTGCATTACACTTAAAATGTTTGCCTACCTTTTTAATGCTGACAGAAAAAAAACAGGGACCTTCAGTCTTCTGCCAAGTAAAAATTGTCACTGATAATTTATATGCAGGAATCAGACTTGCCAATTTTTGGGCTTGATTTCTCTGCTCCAAACGTCCAAACTAATTCTGAATATCTCATCTACTGAAGAAAACAATTACCCTTCAATATGCAAAATTTCAAGGTTTTTGACAAAATATAAGTAATTGAAAAGTACAGCTTTTTTTGCAACTTTTGCAGTTTCTTTTTCATCTGGCATTGCAGACACTTGCAGAGAAAAAAAACAACTGGATCTAGAAAGCTCAAATTTTAAACTTATGCCTTTCTTGTTATCACTGAAGTTCTTGCAAAACTTCTGGGTCGATAGGTCAAAGTTAACTAGGATTTCACATAGAACTATTTCGGTTTTCTGGCTTAATTTCATACTTATAAGGATAAAGTTACATCAAAACATTACTCAGTGGAATTCAAGCAGTAGTATCTAAAAAGATTAATGAAACATCAAGCTTGCTTGTTTGTTGAAGTTTCTGTCAGTTGGCAAAATTTTCTTCGTAAATAAAGACACAGTCATTGCAAAAAATAATTTTTGAACGACTGTGGACTGTGTCTTTATTTACAAAGAAAATTTTGCCATCTGACAGAAACTTCAACAAAAAAACTTTTTTGCAACAACTTGTCACCAGAGGGAATACCAAAAAATCTACATTTAACAGCACTTTCTTCCAGTGGATATAAAGGCTGGAATTCCCAAATGGAACAGGATGGAAAACCTGAAGACAACATAAGATCCACTGGTTCCAATTTTTTACATTTATATTTGTAAGGAATGTTTTGAATTAGATGGCCAAGTAGCCTATAAAGGAAGGTCTGGCTGTCTAAAGTTTTATTCTATAACATATAATAAAATAGTCATTCCAAACATTATTTTTGAAAAACACTGTCTCTTTATTTACAAAAAAAATCAAGTTTGTTCTAAATAGAAGCAAAGGATGGAAAGCTATTATGAAGCTAACAAAAATCTTAAATGGAAAAGAAGACAAACAAGTGAAACAGAGATCAGTTTTTTTGCTAACAGGAAAAATGACTCTTGATGTCATATGAACTGTGTGTTGCAACCAAAGAAAATTATAATCTATGTAACTGATTTTGTAAATAAACTAATGTAATGGAAAAAATTAATCAAAACATGTGTCAGCTTGTATTCTTGAGTTTTGAATACAGTCGACCCCCTTATAATTACGATTCCTATAAAACTACGAAAAAATATACGTATTTTGGAAATGTTGAGTCGGATTAGTGTAGAATCGATTAATTTTATGGAAGAAAACCTTACAATCAGCCGTAGTCCATAAACTTGACATGTGTCGGGCTGTGATTGGAACGACTTGTAAGAAATCGGATTCCTAATAAATTGGAACGTATCTATATCTTATAGGGGGG